CTAATTTTCATTTATACCAAACAATAGCTTAATTTTAAACTACAAAACAAATAAAGTGAAAATACTACCCAAAAAAAAAAAAAAAAAAGTTTTGAAATTAGTTAATTTTAACCACGCTAAACCAAAAAGGCGCTAAAAAGAAAAAGAGAACGAGTTATGAGTCAACTCGGCAATATTGTTTATAAATAGTACATATTCATGCCATTTATGTTCCTAGTTTTAGTTCAAATCAAATGCTAAAGCAGAATGTCAGAATCAAGCTTGTCTCAACTGGTAAAGCTACTGAATTAGCTAAATTTAAATTTTCTGATCTGCTTTACCTTTCTAATTTGATTTGTAATTGGTAATGAAGGAACCTTCTGTGGTGAATGGCTTCGATTCAAGGTGGGGAGGATGGGGTAAAATCGGAACATATATATGGAGAAACAGAGAAGACATATTCTGGGAAGTGGTTTAGATCTGTGACGGATTATATGGCAAATGTAAAGGAAAGAAACGCACCAGTCGCCCTACTGAAGAGGTTGTTATTCGTGATGCAGTAGATTTCATTAACCTCACTTCGCCATGAGGCAGCGAGGCAATGCAAATAATAGGAAATAGAAGGTAAATAAGGTAGCGACATAGATTTTGAAAGTGTATTGTGTCGGACACCAGCTTGGAATTGGAAAAATCACATGAATTGTGTATTCTGTTCCCTTGTATTTCCAGATTCTGATTCTTGTGTGCCTATACCGGTCACTTTTGTCTAAAAATTTTTGTAAGAATGATCATAGGTTTGAAGTATTGNNNGAATGATCATAGGTTTGAAGTATTGGTTATCTTTACCGTTTTGATGAATGCATAAATCTCGGATTTATTAAGTTAGTCATGTTATTCAGCAGTTTTGGATCCTCCCTCTTTTTTGCATATGCATTGTGTGTTTTTAAGTTTTTGTCAACTACATCTTGTTTATTTGAATGATTGTTGCTTGTATCATAGAAACGATGATGAAAATCTGAAATTCATATTCTCAATCACATCTACACCCCCACAGTTTTGGAAAGAAATCAAACAAACTTAAAGGTCCAAGTTCAAGTTCAGGAATGTGAAGCGAAGGAGGGAGGCTAATTTCCTGTGCCGTGGGACTTGTGATTGACAAAGTCTCTTCCA